CATTCAAAAATCCCCCAAATTGCACCCAGTATGCCATGTGTCTTAGTCATATCTCTGTGCTACTTTAATATAAAAGGTCCAGTAACTTTTGGGTGCTAGATTAAACTGAACACAGTATTAGAGTGGTGTCAGATGGCACAGAAGTGCAAGCTGGCCTTCAAGCTCTTTGCTGGTGACAACTGGCTTGAAACACTTTCTGGCTCCAGAAGCGATAAAAAAGAGGCACTTTGTTATTACATGAAAGACTTTCAATCAATATAGAGAAATAATGGAAATTGATTTTCATATTGAGAGAACTTTGGACATTGGCAAAGGATTTAGAAATCCTCACTTCAAATTGTTTGGATAATATGTCAAACTGCTCTTAACTTTTGTTAAATAACACGGATTGTCACTTGTTTATTATCATTATAAGATGATTGGACCTGTTGCATCATTATTTATACAGTATTATGAAAAGTATTTTTATTCAATTCTTTCACTTTGTAGAAGAATATCATTCCCTATACATTTGAATCACAAAAGAAGAGAAAGAAGAAGATTTGAAGTGACGCATAGTGATGATTCCCGAGACTTTGGTGAACCTTCCAACAGAAGAAACGAAGGAGGGGAGTTATCCACATGGACATTACTAATTCTATCAGATCATGTAAAGCAATTTTATCTCTAGATATATACTGGCAGTGACAACAGGGAAGTAATAGAGAACGATTAATGGAGAAAAGGGTAGGTGGAAATAACTCTTCTCTTATATGATAGAGATTCATTAAAAAATATATGCTAGAGTAGTTCTTAATAGTGTCATATGTCATATAGTGCCACTCATCGTGTGTTCAATTATCTTTGGTAATTGTGTTTGATCATTTTTAATGCAAACTCATTAATTAATATTGTATTGAGGATATATAACGAGAATTAAAAACTGGTAAATTAGTATGCACTGTGGAGGTGGCTGAAAGTGCATCAAACATTCAAGAATTTCGTTGTCACAGAAATTTAAACTTTTAAACATAACTTGAATTATCCATCAAATGTTTTAGTGGTGGCTAGTTAAGAAGGGTGTTGTTTTGTGATTTGGTTAAGTTTTACCCCTTGTTGTATTCTTTACTCAACATAAGTATAATTTGGGTCTATGAGAGAACGTATGGGATTTAATGGCAAAGTGACTTCGGTGTCTGTTTCAAAATATTTGGTTGGATATATATGAGTCGCATTATTCTTACTCGCACAGCAAACGTAAAGTCTTTTATACACTTCTTTTGTTTCTTTGAAATTTCAAAACCTTCCCAGCTCACGGTTGAAAATTTTATGAAAATATCAATTTATCATGTATCGAGTGAGCCTGCCTTCTCAAAATAAGTATATGAATTTTAATAATAAAAGCCATGCTCTCCATTTAAGCAAAACCTTTTAAATTCTGCTATTCCGCATCTGGAAAAAACAGTTAATATGTTATAATAATATGTTAATAGAAAGAGAAATGATAAGAAGAAGATGATAGTGCCGATGGCTTTCTCAGGAGCTCAGTGTACTGAGAAGTGGAACTCAGCAGTAGCGCAAAAGTATCGTTATCATGATAGAAATAGCAAGACAATTGCTCTAGCGATGAAGAAGCAGTCAAATATGGTGATGTTAATAGTGATATGTTGTATGTAATGTATTTGTATAGTGGTGTACGATTATATATAAGAAATAAAAAATAGTCAGTTCTAGGACGGTAGTTTGCTATAAATATGTCATATTGTAGAATGGGATACTTGTTTGTTTGTGAATTAAATATGGAGCGTGTTTACATATGTTATATTATATAAGATATATATAATATACCATATGACCATTGCAGCACAGTTTGGTTGCTATTCATTTGCACATATTTTCTTATTTCCTGTAAAATTCTGGAGAAAGCGGTGATCACTCGAAAGCATTTATCACAACAAAATTACATTGTTATTGATAAACAGTTTGTTTATCCTGACTGCAAAAGGTTGGGCCAGTCCATTTACTGTTGTTAGGTGCGTTCAAAGGTTTAAAAAATACTGTTGACATTATAGATATGAAGAAGGCAGCGGATATGGATGAAGATTTGGTTCACCAAAGTAAACCATGGACGTTAACAGATCTAGGAAGAGTATATGGGAGTAAGAACGCTCACAGGGTGAAACTAGAAAAGCCCAGAAAGCTGAGGAGGAGAGACAGAATAGCGTATTGCAGAGAGTGCAAAAGAGGTAAGATATGTAACTATTCTAACACTACTGTTAGTACTGTACATTTGTTAAGGGGCATCCGTGGCGGAGTGGTAAAGGTCGTTGACTTCAAACCACATGCCTCTCACCACTGTAGGTTCAAGCCGCACCAGTGTCTTGGGATTCTTCATGTGAGAAAGTTGTCCAGCTAGCTTACAGAAGGTGGATGGTTCTACTCTGGTGCCCTTTGTGCCTATAATAATGTACAGAAAGGCACCTGAAATCTACCTCCACCAGTAAAGCTTGGCAAAGTTGGCCATATTGTACCTATGTACAGTGATTCTGCGATGCATGTAAATAACGCATGCGAAAAAAACGCTACAATATAAACCTATGTAATGAATCCATTGTAAGCATGGACTTTTGTGATAAGGTATAAGCATATTATATAGTAGCTGGAGAACCTATGGTGGTTTTGTTGCACAATTGTTCTGTTTGTTTGTTGTTATTTGTTTTCTTTTAAAATTTTATAGCTCCACCCCTTATTCGGAAATAATTTAGTTACATCTTAGGATGCATTTATTAGAAAATAAACGGTATTAGAGAAAATGTAAAGCAACCTACAATCCTAAAAATTTGTTGGCCTACAGCTGTTTAACGTTTACAAATTTATCTAAAAATCAACAAAATTTTTTCCATGAGAGTGGATGTCATAAATTGATGTGGGAGTAGCAGTTGAGGAGAACAAGAAATAACAGAGTTATATTCGGACGTATTGAAAAATATAAACTAAAATAATAATCGTAATTATATGTTTCAGTAAACACGTATGTTGAAAGTTCAGAGAGGTGAGAAGAGGAGAGGAGCCTTTTCCACGAGGGTACAGATAGAGAGACAATGACACAAGCCTAGAGAAGAGCAGCTAGAGACAGTATCGCAAAGATTCTCGGATCACCGAGGAAAGTTCCTGTAACAACCAAATGTGTACTGGAAATGGATAAGGAAAAGAAGAAAATACTGATTGAAGAGGAGACTCTGAACTTATAGAAAAGTTTAAAAACACGGAATAAATATATATAAGAATAAAATACCCTCCAGTAGTTGAAAGGAAAATACAAATAAAAGATTATTTATGAAATTTGAAATTCAATATTAAGAAATTATTTATCTGTATTGATTTTTTAGACTGTTTTGAGGAGCTGATATATGTAATCCACACACCAGCGTCACTCAGAAAATTCGTGACTCAGTTGGCAAAACTTTATGTTTATTTTTGGATCTGCAAGTAGGCTATTCTCCTTAAGTTATGAAAAGAAATAGCAGTTGAAAACTTCAACACACTTATTATGAGAGCCTGAATAAGAAGGCTAAGTCAATAACTCTTAACATGGCATTTTGATCAGCAAGTAACTTAGACACAATCTACATATCCCAGGCTCTGTATTTACTATATGCAACGTGTCTGAGATATAAGAGCTATAATACCAGTACTGTAATAATCATAACTAAATATTTTACAAATTAGGAATCTCTATGTAGTCATCTATATCTTAAGGCAGTAATAGCTTGAGGTTTTATCTAAATGTTTCATGCAGGACTGCATGAGAAATGTGAACCCATCTCTGTTTCCCTACTATTATACATGTCATATAATTTTGATTTCAGCTGTCAGGATAATTATGTTAACTTGTTGTTGTTAGAGAGTTGTACGCGAGACTCGAAAGAAGAGAAAAGGGACAGTGTACTGATGATTCAGGGCCCTCATCTGTTATGCCTGGAATAAGAGCCAATTAATCGAGTATGTCACTATTGTATATAATGAGTGTCAGCAGAGATAACTAACATCTAGGTCGTAAAGTATGCTCTGTGTGAAACTATATATTTAAAATGGCAAGCTGGCAATTCAGTTTTTAGTTTTATTAAGGATGATTGTTAAATTGTTTTAAATCTTGCGCCTGGGATTAGACTATGAGTCTAAAGGTCGTGACACGGTTTTTTATGAAATTGGTGTTAGTATTGAAACGTTATTGTTTGCTTATAGTACAGCCAATACCGGACTTAGGGCCTTGAGATGATAAAAATTGGAAAGACCATTTGTACCCTCATGCAGCACACTCTAATAAAACTATGGGAATCAATCTTTTTATGAGCAACAAGTTATTAATTACTATTTTAGATTTAAATTGGAAATTATTCTCCCATTTACAATATTCTTGACGAATAGCTGTGTTTATAGATTTTATAATTGTCCTTATTATCTGAACGATCGGTTTCTAGGCAGTAATATAAGCTGTGCTTATTTGATCTAGCTCCATGTATTATAAGTTGAGGAGGTCTTGTGATGTTCACGCCCTTATATGAACAGTCCCATTTCTCCTTAAAAAAGATTAGAAAGTAGAGTAACTCGTAAAATCAAACTTGCCTCACACAGTATGGTTCCAAAAGCAGTTAAGTATCCAATGAATCATAGGCTAGGCTGTGAAAATTACACAATAAACTTTTTAACATATTAATGATCGTTAATTATTAAAGAACAATGTTAACGTGGGTTGTAGAAAAATATGTACCTGTTATTAATCTGTTATTCCTGCGACATATTATTATATATATGAAGAATTAGTAACCTTGCAACACCTATAAAGTCACTTGGGTACAGAAGCGGTAGAGAAAAATAACTATGAATGTTCATCCAAAAGGCATACGTTATTGTAGTTGAAAAGGTGATTTTCCTTCATTAGTAATTTGCTTCGACACCACCTGTTCTTATTATGAACGGAACTTTAACAATGTATGAACAAAATTTTTTTCTAGGTCATCACATTTGTGCATACAATGTTATCAAATGTAAAGTTAACCAAGATGACTAAATGTTTGGTGGTATGCCCATTGAATACAACCTTGAATTGGGTGAATGAGTTTGAGATATGGCTCTCAGATGTTGACTTTGAAATTGAGGTTTGTATAGAATTTACAAGTATTCTATTTACAAGTATATAGTTCTTTATATTTAATTGATTAATTTCTAATAGCTTCTAATTAAGAAATTTTTTTTAGGCTTGTCTGTTTTGAAGAAACGGTCGAGCTATTATGATAGCAGTGGCCATGTTGTTGTCATGCAAAAACTTAAATTTAGCCTGTTATTTAAACATTTAAAAAGATATCAACATGTAACTTTGGAATATTTGTTTATCATGACAAGGTGCTGTTGTTAGACAAGGGGCATAAGGCTGAATTCGATAGTTATAGAACTGTGACCTTTTTAACTTGAAATTTTTAACTGACAAGCATAAACACTGCACGCTTAGCTCTTTTAAATATTAGATAACTTTTACCCGCAATAACTTGTAGAACAGGAGAAATTTTAAGTTATAAAACAACCTACAAATATAATTGATGTTTGATAAGTGTGTTTCGTTAATTAAGGCATAGATAAAGAATGGCTTCACTATGTAAATTTCAATACGTTGAGTATTGTTGTTAGGGGTTGATGTTGTCAGAAAAAAAATTGAAGTGTGAATTTTTAACCTGTGTTTTTTTATCAGGTATATGAGATGTCTAGGGTAAAGCAGAACTTTGAGCGTGCTCAGATGTTAAAGGAATGGCACGAAGGTGGTGCCGGTGTCATGATCCTCGGTTACGACATGTACAGAAATCTCGTGAACGGAAGTCACTGTAAAAACAAGAAACAGAAAAAAATCTTTTACGAAACCTTAGCAGAACCAGGTAAAATAAAACTTGTCTTGGTGCAAGATTTGTTGGTAATTTTATCCATATCCAAATTGGATTTAATTTACTTTTAGTGAATATTATTTGAAACTTAATCTATGGTGAAGGATGAATTTGAATCATGGTCTTGCAACTTAAATGAATCATTTTTGAAAATTAAATAATATTCTAATCTGAACTGGTGTCACATGAGAAAACATGGTTGTAACCCAAGTGCGGCTCAAACCCACAGTCCATGGGGTGAGAGGCAGATACCTTAACTTCTAGGTCCCAGCTACTATTTAGTTAGTTAAGTTTGCCTACTAATATATTAAAACAGAGGGAAAATATCTTCTTAGTCTTATTACAGCATTACACATACAGATAAACATAAAATTGTGAGTCAAGGTCACTGAGGCTAAAAATAGATTTTCATACTTTTCCTTATAGGAGATATAATTATTTTCTGGTCTTGTACAAAAGGCTTGAGATTTACAGCATAGACTGAAACACTGTTGTTTATATTATAATTATCAGGTCCAGATCTCATTGTATGTGATGAAGGTCATATATTAAAGAATGACGCTACATCATTATCCAAGGCAATGACAAAGATTGATTCACGGCGGAGAATCGTACTGACTGGAACACCGCTACAAAATAACCTGGGAGAATGTGAGTAGTTCAGTTTTGAAATGAAGTTTTATTGAGTAAGAAAAAAAATGCAACAGTTGACTGGTTATAAAAAAAAGAAAGAATGTGTACACATTAAAAAATTATGAGTGATGTATATTGAAAATATGTCGACACCAAAATGTCACAATGTACGATATATATTTTGTCGTTTACTAAAATTGATTGTAATATTTTTTACTTTGAGTAAATTATACAAATGTACGTGACGTTTTCTTTCTGAGTTATTCAAAAGATGAAAACATGGTCACGATTCAACCATTATATCAAATTGACTAGTTACTTCAAATGATCTTAGACAATGTTCTTTTAGGGGAAAAAAGGAATTTACCTACCATCCTGAGAGGTATTCGTGGGAAATGGCAAGTATTTTACTTGTTATGTAATTTTATCAACAGATCACTGTATGGTTGACTTTGTGAAGCCGTCACTGTTAGGTACAAGGAAAGAATTCAACAACCGATTCTGTAATCCAATTACTAACGGTCAGTGTAGTGACTCGACACCATTTGATGTGAAACTGATGAAACATAGGGCACATATACTTCACGAATTGTTGGCAGGCTGCGTACAGGTAATGTTTTTGTTAATTACTTGGAATATGTTCATGTCAATGATCTTTTTGAAGAAATTTTTCTGTTGGTAGTAAATTGTTACAGTGCAATATTGTTACCTTTATGTTGCTGAATTTGTTTATGTTTTTAACTTTTCCTCTAAAATTAGAAAAGTTTTTTTTTTGACAATCTTGGATATAGAAAGCAATTGGGCCTTGTTTGAGCATTTTTTTGTTTGGTAAGGGTTGTTACAGTGCAAATATTGTTGATCATAATCATGTATGAAAGAAGTACCTCATCAGATTTGATGTTGTTTTTGTTTCAGGATTTCTAGGTCAAAAAATGCTTCAAACAGTATTCTGTTCAATGTCACACATTCGTTATTGCCATATCAAATTAAAAAAGATCAGGTTGTAGCTTTGAGGAGATGAACTCTTTATAATTATCCAGTCATGTACAATTACTAACTAAGAAATATATTTCAATGGAAGTTGATTATCTTTCTATGACTAGACGTGTGTGACTGAATGTTCTTATCAAAAAAGTATTAAAAGAATGTTCCTTCAATTGATATTAATACTATTATATCCAATATAATTAAAAATGATGAATAATATGTTGTGTTTTTTTCTCCAGAGGAAAGATTATTCAGCCCTCACCAAATATTTGCCACCAAAGTTTGAGTATGTGATCTCAGTACGATTGTCTGAAGTACAGATGACTTTGTATGAGAATTACCTGTCTATGAACTCCCTTGGTGGAACTGGGGATATAAAGAGTAAAGGGGCACGACTCTTCACTGACTATCAGGCATTAATGAGAATATGGACTCATCCATGGGTGCTAAAACTGGACGAGATTAGGCAGGAAAATAAGGTATATTCTTGTAACTTTCAAGAGATTATTATTATATCATGCTGTGTAATGTACTTTAGACTAATGAAATGAATAAAGTTTTTGATGTGATTGATAAATGTAACTTTTTCATGTTACTGCTTGCCCCTCACTGCTGTTGGATCGAATCCCGACAAGGACTATGGATTCTTTCATATGAGGAAGCTAGCTAACGGAATATCGGTGATTCAACTCAGGTGCCTTTTGTGCCTGAAATAATGCAAGGAAGGGCTCCTGAGGTCTTGCTGGATAGTCACCATATGACCTATACTGTGTTGTGAGATAAAAAAAAAAAGTACTTGTAATGATATAGACTCCTTCTGCCTGTATAATATTATGCTTGTTACTGAAAAGGTGTGTAGTCTAACTTGCTAAAGCATGCATTTGTATTAAGGGACATGTCTTTAGGGACCACTTTAAATTCCCCATAATAATTTTCTCTCTTTAGTTTTAATGTATTTCCTGTTATTGAAATGAAGGCTTCAAGCCATTGGCTTCAAATCGCCACTGCGGGCTAGAATCTTGTCAGGAATGGATTCTTTTATGTGAGGAAGCTTTACCGTAAGCTAACAGGTCAGTTGTTCTACTCGGGCATTTGCTCGTGCCTGAAATAATGCACTTAGACACACATGTCTTCTTCCTCCACCAGCCAGTCTTCTTCCTCCACCAGTAAAACTGGAAAGTCACCAATATAACCTTTACAAACAATTTTGTTGAAATGTGGAATTTATTTTTTTAGCAGGTTTATATTTGAAATTGTTAGGTAAGACTCATCGATAGTGTTTTATATTTGAAATTTTAGCGTCAGTTTGATGATGAAGATGATGACTCATTCATCCAAGACAGTGGCAGTGATGAAGATTCCTTCGTTGATGACTCGACCACTTCAGAAGATAATTCTTCAGGTGACGAGAGCACTAATGATAAAAAGAAGAAGAAGAGAAAAACAAGAGGTGACAAGGGGAGCTCGTCTTCTGATGAAGAGTAAGTTTTGCTTGTTTGTTTATCTTCGTTTCATATTTTGTGTTTAAGGGGTAAAAGATGCACTGATACCAAATAGGTTATGTGGGTTCTTGCCAGGCGTTACAGTAGGAAGACTCGGGTGCCATTTTAAACAAAATTTCAACCATGATTTTGGATTTTAAGAATTATCTTTACTATCCTTACTACCAATTCTTAATTTCTTGGAATATGCCACTACTTTGAAAGTAAGGAAACATATTGTGATGATTTTGTCCATCCAGCGTTGCATAAGAAATGAAGTAAAGAAAACAAAAAGAAACAATTGTTCATTCTGTAACAGTAGAATAAGGAGCCTTAGTCCTTTATACAAAGAAAGAAAATAATAAAAGGATTGGCCATTTCTTTTCCATTCCTTGGCATGTCAATCAATAAGAACATTGGGCAAAATCCTTGTGCGAGCAATAACTTAAAAAAAAAAAGTGAGCCTTGATTTGTTAAATATGGTAGAGATAGAGCCAAGGTCTTTATGTAAAGATGACAGTGACATTGAAATCCTTGTCAATTAGTTACCCTTGTCAAAGGTTTGTGAAACTTAAATAGTTATGATACTATTATCATAATTATGAGCCGTGTCATGACAAAACCAACATAGTGGGTTTGTGACCAGCATGGATCCAGACCAGCCTGCGCATCCGCGCAGTCTGATCAGGATCCATGCTGTTCGCTTGTCAACTCTATTACAAGTTGAGAAACTGACAGCGAACAGCATGGATCCTGATCAGACTGCGCGGATGCGCAGGCTGGTCTGGATCCATGCTGGTCGCAAAACCACTATGTTGGTTTTGTCATGACACGGCTCATATATATTTATTATTTATTTAACATTTTACCTTTATAATGTATTTAAGTATGTAATTTTGCCACTGTTATAGGGAATTTGGGGCTGCATCTCCTATTGTCATACTTTCTGATTTATGTATTTAAAGATATAAATAGTTAACTGGCAGCTCAGGAATATTCCCATCTGCGTGCTGACTGATCATGTTCTGCGCTATAAGTTACTGAGTCAGCTCATATTTTGAAATTTTCTCTAAAAAGTATAAATGTTTCTTACAGATTGAAGGGTATATGCTGTTTAGCCTTCTAAAGATGAATTAAGGCTATAATTGATCGTATAACACTTTGTATCTATTTGTTATTTTCAGTTCAAAGAAAGAAAATCCAGATGAAGTTGTGAAGAAGTGGACGTCTAAACGTAGAGGAAATGGTAAAGGCATTGATTCTTTTAATAAACTGTTTTGTGAACTTGAATTTTACAATAGAACATGAATGCATAGCTTTTTATTCGCCCACAAAAATTTTGGGTACATATTGTTACGCACCTGGTTGTCCGTCCGTCTGTTTGCAATCTTGTGTCTGGTCTGCATCATTTGGACCGGTGGAAGGAAATTGAAACTGCTTAGCAGAAATGTTAACCATAATGGCACAATCTGCAGAGCGCAGGTTTGACCTTTCTTAAGACAAGGTCACACTTTGTCATTTTGTATCAATTTCAAAATTTTGGCAGAAGTATAACTTATAATGTGACGATGTGAAGAACAAAGGTTTTTGGCTTCCTGAGACTAGACTTCGCCCCGTCCTGGCCCCGTGTTCACAAAGATTTAAGGATCAGGATCAAGATCAGGATCAAATTTAAAAACCCTAATATTCTTGATTGTCAATCCTCATAGATATTTCTAATTATAAATTTGATAAAACTGGACTTGAAATAGCAAGTATATGAAATTTTAGAATAAATTAATTGTTAATTTTGCAAGATATGGGTATTTTACAGTTGATCCAAATATTGATCCTGATCCTAAAATTGATCCTTATTTTGATCCAAATATTTTTGTATTTGTTTTGTTATTTGTTGATTTTATCCCAAAAAAGTTAGTTTTCTTTGCAAATCAGCATATTTTTACATTTTGAATATTTACAATTTAATTCAACAAAACACAAATAATTTTAGTAACATTAAACAGTGAAAATAAAATCAGGATCACTTGATCCTGATCCTGATCTTTTCTTAGTGAACATGGGGCCTGGGGATTGCTTGATTTTTAGGAAAACACATTTAAGTTTTATTGTGTGAAAATACAATGTCTAGAGCTTAGATATTTAGCTTGAAAAGATTTATATTGGACATACATATTTGAGACTTTTTATGTAAAACTACAATGCACAGAACTTCGATATTTGGCGTGTTACATGTCTTTGTGGACGCAGGCATAACTGGTATTAATCATGCACCTTGGGTCAATATTGGCCTTACCTCAGGGGCCACATGCTTTATATACTTATTTAGGAAAACTTTTTTGAGACTTATTGTGTGAAAAGTAATTGCTATACTTTGGAGTAAAATGTAATGTTGTTTTCATATCTTTTTTCTCTCAAAAGTTAAGTACCAATTTTGTCATTTCTTCATATAACAAGAGAATCTCTGTAAGTGATTGAACATACATGATTGTTATCTTAAACTTTCCCTTCAAAATATCCATATGGCTTTGACGGTGTGACTTAAAACCTCACCATCAAATAAAAATCAAAATCCAAGCTCCTAGAAACAGTGAATAATAATATTTAAATCCAAGCTCCTAGTAACACTGAGTATTTTACAAATATTTTAACAGAAGAAGGAGCTGGTTCCTCTTGGATGGAAGATATGGGATACAGTACGGGACCAAAGGAAGTGACATCAGAATGGTGGGCGGAGTTTGTGAAGGAGGAGGATGAGTTTAGACTTGAACTTAGTGGGAAAATGACCTTAATGTTTGAAATCCTGAAAATGTGTGAAGATATTGGTGATAAAGTGTAAGTATTTAGTCTTTTCCTCTATTATGGTCTGTTTCTTTATGAACTTTTTCTTTTCAAAATCAAGCGTAAGTTTTATATTGTTGATAATGCTTTTCTGGAGACAAAACATATGATTTCGCCAAACTATTTCTTTAGTTCCTATAGATTTTATTTCCCTATTCGCTGAATTCTGCCTGAAGTCTGTCTTCATTGTCAAAAAAAGGGGGTAACTGTTTGAAAGTTATTTGCAAAATAAATATACCCCCTATATTTTGTGTTACAGTGATGGTAGTGATGGAACATGGGTTATGATTTAGAAGAACTAACCAAGAAAAATGGTTTTGCTCTGTTAATAGATTTTTTGTTAAATTTCATGTGCATAAACAGTTAACTAACTCTTTGAGTGCAGACATGATAATAATTGATCTAAGTCATCAGTATGAAGATATCATAACTTTAGTGCAATAACTGATTATCTCTTATTAAATTTAGAAGGACTCATTCTGTTACTGCACTTAGCTGACGATATATGGAAATCAAACATCAGTACAGTCTCATGTTGCCCCAGACAGCTGCTTTATTTTAGCAGTTTGATACAAAATTGCTCACAGTTGACTGCCCTTAATACAAAGCACTACAAGCAATTATTCAAATTAAGCAAGGAAAGAGTAGACCAATAACCTTTCATTGTTTTTACGTCTCTGTATTTACATATATAAATGTATCATTTCAGATTGGTATTTAGTCAGAGTTTGCTGTCGTTAGATATTATAGAAGATTTCTTGACGAAGATTGACGAGGCAAACAACCCTGTAAATGACACGACCGATGCTAACAAACCATCGACATCTGGTGAGTCGAGTACTGAGGTGCCGAAGGAAAATGGTGCAGAAAAGACTCAAGAGGAGAAAAATAAAGAAAGAGTATGTATTTGTTAAATAATTCTGTGAATGTTAATGTCAATGATAAAATGATGTGCTGCAAGGATTATGCCGGTCTTCACTGCTCATTATTTTAATCAATGCTTTATATTTCCTGACAACTCTATACAACTGATAATCAAGAAAAATTGATCTCGGGCATTGGAGACTTTTGGTGATTTGTTTGTCACCACTCATTCAGAAGTCATGTGTGATAAGTAGTCAGTCGCTTGTAGAGAAATAGGTTATTACTAGCCACTTGTCAAGGAAAATCATTTAGATGTCAGGACCAACTGCTAAGAAATGACCAAAATGTGTTGAAATCTGAGTAAAAATCTGGTACTTCAGTCAAAATCTGGTACTTCAGTCCTTATATTATTTATGGAGTATGCCCTATAAAAGGCATGGCAGGTCTATTATTGAAACAAAGTAAGATTTTGGCTATTGTCTTATGGTTTTATATATTGTACTATTACAGTTTTCTCAGTATGGTAAATCCTGGAGTAAGGGACTCGATTATTTTAGAATGGATGGATCTACAAACTCGCAGCATAGAAAAGCATCACAAGATATGTTTAATGATCCTGAAAATTACAGGTAATGAATTTAAACTATTGATCTTGTTTCCTTTTCACCATGCTTCGCCATGTTTGTGATATGCAAAGTTGTGTGTGTAGGAAAAATGAAGTTTACATGATCTGTTATTTGTTTTCATGACAAATTGCATATACTTGGGAAAATTGGACATTATATTCCAAAAATAATTAACAAACCATTTTGTATGAGAATGTTAGTCAGCCGATGGAACAAATTGTAATTTTATTCATTTGACAGAAACAACGGCCTGTCAATGATAAATGAGTTCAAATTATTTTAGTACCATGTACATATATGTTTCACTGTAAGGTTACAACTTTGGGCAAAAAGCATGAGATTTTCTCAAGATTTTTCAATGTAATTCCAGTATTAATAAACCAAATAAGTAATTAAATCCTCTATAAGTAGGTTTTTCTGTAGGGATTACAATGGTACAGATGATAATATGTGTATGGTTTGTTTTAACCAGGCATTTACTCTATACTGTTGTGCTGGTCATGTGAGGATTTAAGAATTTTCTTGTATGTAAATAATCTATTCAACTTGAGGAACTTAGTAGTAGCTTCAACTTACATGACTTTGTGTGACTCAAATAACATACTAAGGGTAGCATCTTGAAAAGTAAGGCAGGAAAATCGATATACATATATTGTGACAATGATATACTGTATAAGAGGATATTTCAATGTGTTGATTTTACCGAATTTAAAATTCCAGATATTTTGTGTCAGGAAATATGAGCAAAAATGTTCATTTCCGTATACTAAAAAATTGATTCTCAAAACGTCTATGTATGACAGTATTAGCTGAGCTGTTCCGTCTGCATGAACTAAACGTCAAAAAGCTGCAAAACAATTTGTCACATGGTAAAGATATTTTTTTCATAATGGCAAATTTCTATTTCAGAGCACGTTTATTCCTGATCTCGACAAAAGCTGGGTCACTAGGTATAAATTTAGTATCTGCTAACAGAGTTATCATATTTGATGCGTCGTGGAATCCATCACATGATATCCAGTCTATTTTCCGTGTGTACAGATTTGGTCAAGTGAAGCCAGTATATGTGTATAGATTCCTAGCACAGGTGAGATATTTTTCTGTCTGTGCTGATTTGTCATTGAACTTTTGTTTGATTACATGGATATTGCTATCTTATAATCTTAATACAGTGTACAAAAATTGAGCTGTCAGCTGTGTAACTGAGTTGTAAACACAGCTGTTTAAAATTGTACGGACATACAGTCTGACCTGATTCAAAAATTAATCACTAGGTGGTTTAAGGCTATTGTTGTCACTTTAAACACGTAATGTCCCATTCTTAGTCTAAGTTTAACATGGTTGTTTCTGATATAATAACAAAATAATTACTGCAAATTTTTTATGGAAACTATATTTAAATATTCTGATAATATAAACTTTATTCAATTTTTTCTTTCCTTTTAGTAGAAATACAGTGTTTTTTTTACTCACATTTAAGGGAAAGTTCCCTCCCTTAACCTGTAGAAAAGTTAACCCTGCTAGAACTCGTAAAATTTGTTTTTGTTGTATAGGGTACAATGGAGGAGAAGATTTATGAACGTCAAGTTACAAAGCAGTCGTTGTCACAGAGAGTTGTTGACGAGCATCAGATAGAGCGTCACTTCACATCAAATGATCTTCAAGAACTGTACAAGTTTCAACCAGATCGACTCAATGATCCAAGTAAAAAAGATCGGCCATTACCTATACTACCAAAGGTACTGTTTTTTTTCCTCGACTATTTAAGAAATTGGTAGAGCTAATGTACTCACTCCGGGGTTGGCATCACCCTCATACTTGCTTAAGTTTTTATGTGCAAGTTGGTATCTCTAACACTACTGATAGGAATGAGTTAATACTTCACACCTTGTTCTCTGTGGTTATCTGACAACATGATGAGCACAGGCCCCATAACTCAAGTGTTACTCTTTTTTTTACAGAGATATTCGTAACTATTTAATCAAACGTGTTTTACATTATTTTTCTTTAGTGACACAAGTTTCTTCAAAATGGGCCTAATAAATTGCTACAAATATGTACTAAAAGTTTTTAATGTGATAGTGGTGATTGAAAGTGATAGTTGCAGTTCCTCAATAGCCACATGTAATTACTATTAGAATAGTTTATTAAAGTTTGATTTGTATAAGAAAGTATAGGATTATACACACTATGGAGTCTGTTAATGGAACAAACCAGTTTTAAACAATGATTGTTATGTTTTTTCATTTCAAGGAAACAACAGATCATGAGGTTTAACCCACTGGCACCATCTTTGATACTAGCTGACGGAATCTTGCAAAATTAAGCATTAGACAAAAAATGTTTAAAATAAATCTGTTAATGTAGTAATAATTATGTGTAGGAAAGTTTGTTTTCTGTTAGAATAACATTAAATAATAATGTTGATATAGGACCATATGTTAGCTGAGTTGATGACAAACAACAAGGAATGGATCGTGACATACCACGAGCACGACTCTTTACTCGAGAATGTTGTATCACAAGAACTGACAGAAGACGAGAAGAAGGCTGCCTGGGAAGATTACGAAGATGAAAAGAAGGGCATTAATAAAGGTAAACATAAAATCTTACATAATCTTGGGTTTTCTCTATATTGGGAAGTGGTTTTAACCTTGGAAGAATTATGGCTAAAATTGCTAATTTGGGAAAGCAAAAAGTTTGTGTTAGTTTGGATTTATAGTAACACAGAATGAATTTAAAGAAAATTTACATTTGGAAGTATATACATAATTATAATATTCTATTTATCACATATCCAAAATAAGAACTGTTTATAGTAAAATAACACTCATAAAGTGTGATGTCAACATTTTTACACCATTTTAAACCATTTAAGTATGAAGTAAAGGAAGTAACTCGGGTATACTTAAACTATTATACTATAATAGTCACAACTGGTATATGATAAATATATTTTATGCATGGTAAGCTATTGAAAATAATTATTGGTTTAATACTATCGTCTTTTTAAAGGTTTTCTTTTAAATATACATGTATCATAACAACCTCACAAATTTTCAATATGAACATAATGGTTTGTTCCAGCAATGGGAAGTGCACACTTGAATCCGGCACTTTTTGCTACACAGCAGATGAACATGCAGAATCTACTGATGCAGGGTCAAGCTAACCTTGGTCAAGCTGCAGTGCTACAAATAGTGCAGGATCTTAAAGCAAGGGTAAGTCATGTTTGTTTTTGAAAATTCAGTTGTTTCTCCTTTTTTTCTTCATTTTAAGTGGATTTTTGTTGTTGTTGTTTTTTCTTTTCAGAGAATTTCTACAAATATATAAATCCTTATCTTTATTCAGAATGACATTTTGTCTGATCTAAAAGGAAGTGTATATATAAGGGTCATATCTGTACTGCAGGTTATTGATACATAAGTTGGTATTACGAAGCCAATTAAAAAAATGAAAAATCAATACACATTAATGGTTTGAAGACTCATACAGTACAAAGTGTAAATAATGATTCAATGTATGATTTTTAGTCATTAAAAATGACTGTATTTAAGTCATTGAAAATAATTAAATTTTAATTTGAAAGCTCATGCTCCATTGTACATCAAGTGATTGTTACACATAAGTCCACTTCTGTTTTGTTTAACGTATAAGTTACCTCCCCTTTTCAGTTCCCGAACCTGCCACCAGAGGTATTCCAGCAGCGTGTACAGGCTGTATTGAGACAAGTTCTCACACAACAGATCATGCAGCAGTCGGAGTTGCAGAGAAGACAGGTAAATTAGTCTATAATAAAACATTATAAAAACTGTTGTTGCCCTATTCTTTTATAGGAATTTTGTTTTGCATATATTTGGGTAAAGATCTAGACTGTTCGATTTTGTTTATAACGTTCTATAAAGCCATTACATATGTTTTAGGATTAAGTTTTATGTAAATTTTGTAAGTCACTGAAAAAAAGATAGATATTTGTATTCTAGTGAGAAAAGATGTAAAACAGGAAAGATTGTGTGTCTGTGAAGGTCCGTAAATATGAATTCAATGTCTGATAACTTGTATAATTCAACTTTTTCAAAATCTTTTTAATTGAAAAGTTTATATGCATTGTAGGACAATTGGTATAAATAAAGAAGTTGCTGTTATTTCTAAAAAAAATTCTAGCATGCAGGCAAATCTTAATGTCTACAAACTTGTATGAAACAAATTCTTGTATGAAACATACAAAAAACCAACAAAAAAGAATTCAGACATGTGTTAATGTAACTTGTTTTACACAAATCCCTGTATGAAACATACAAAAAAAACGTATGGCCATGTGTTTGTATACAAACTTGTATGACACAAATCCTTGTATGAAACATACAAAAAAGCATATAGATATGTGTTAATGTATACAAACTTGTATAAAAACACAAAAATTCTTGTATGAAACATACAAAAAAGAAACGTGTAAATGTCAGACGTGTAAATGTATACAAACTTGTATCCACCAATCCTTGTATGAAACATACAAAAAAGCATATAGACATGTGTAAATGTATACAAACTTGTATTCCACCAATCCTTGTATGAAACATACAAAAAAAGGCATATAGACATGTGTAAATGTATACAAACTTGTATTCACCAATCCTTGTATGAAACGTACAAAAAAAGGCATATAGACATGTGTAAATGTATACAAACTTGTATTCCACAAATCCTTGTATGAAACATACAAAAAACCCGAATAGACATGTGTTAATGTATACAAACTTGTATTATACAGTTGGAGCAGCAGAGAATGAACGAGTTGAATCGTTTGAACCAGATAAAGCAGCAGATTCAGCGTCAGCAAGCTATGATAAACAACCAGCAGAGAGTGTACGGCATGGGCGCGAACCCTGGTCTTGGCCCTAACCTTGGCATGCAGTCATTGATGACGCAGGCGCTCCGACCACAGACATTGAGTCAGCTACAAATACGTGCTAGTGGCATGAACACTAATTTAAACACTAATTTAAGTAACGATCAACAAAAGAAATGAGGATTGTTTACAGTTTAGTTTAGCGTAGACATTGAATGCTAGTGCTGAAGTCTGGAAATACAAGGGCATATGTTGGACAGATCATTTCATGTAGAATTATTCTAATATTATTTAGATGAACTTATTGAAGATATTTTTAATTCTCTGTCTGAAATCTTGACAATTTTTGTCATGTTGCCCACAATGTAGTGAGTTTTAATGTAGTCTACGAAGTGTTTACAGATATTCATCATTTCCTTCAAATCACTAAGTTTTATGGCATTTCATGGTCATCGCACACAACTTTTAATTGGTCTTATAGGTCTTAACTATTTGTTTGCTATGCTATTTGATAACATTGTAGTGTTTGCTTGGGACTGTCATATTTTTAATCCTTTATTTCTTACAGATGGAAAGAATTTTGTATTGTATTCTATATTAAACAGTGTACAGGAGGTTCTGTCTTTGGTTAAAAAAATTTAAATGAAATGCTTTGAATTGCTATAATAGGTATTGTTGGAAATTGGGATAATTGGCAATACATTTAAAGGCTTGCAAGTTTTGTCCATGCATATCAAATAGAAGATTGGTTTTTATTTGGATAATTGAATTATATAATGTAAATTTGGAGACTGTTTTTTAAATGGGGGTGGGGTTGTACTTGTTTAATTTGCAAACTTTAACTTTAAAGTTGATTTTATTATCAGGTTATATAATCTAAACAAAGAATTAACAGTTATCCCGCTAAAAATATAAAATAAGCTCGCCCATCTTTCAATCTGGACAAAACCATTCATCATTTTTAGGGGAAATATCAAAATATGTTCCAACTAAATAGCAAACTGTGTAGACCATAATCAGACAGAACAGTTGTGTTGACCTTTGTCTAGCCTGGTGTTGTGGCTAGATTCGGTCCCCTCTGGCAGGCTAAGAAATAAGGTTAAATATTTTATTGAGTCAGTACTAGTGATTTTACTTACAGCCATTATAACTGTGATAATCTAAACAACCTTGAACATGTGTATGGTGTTGATAAATTTCTATTTATAGAATATTGCTTTTTTTAACATTTGTCCTTCCTTTATTTTGTGTTTGAGAATTCATTTTCACATTTGCTTTCTTTAATTCCGTTTGAAAATTTGTTCTTTTTTTGATATATGTTCCCTTTCCATACAATTTCAGTCATATTTTTGTTTTTGTTTAATTTCATAAAATATGATGACATCACGTTAATCATCACAACATGTTAGTTCATACAATTTACCTTGAATAATAATTATGATTTTGAAATAAATAACTTACATGTACAGATTAAAAATCATTACATGAATCAGGCATTCATTGTACCGGTAGTGTAAGAGTATTGTGTTAGCAAATTAAAACCATGCCCTCTGATACAATACATGTATCATTGTATATCTAACACTGCCATTGGTCTATTTCAAATTTTTAAATCTCATTTCAGCCAATCAAATGCTAGTATCTTAAGACTGGTTCTAGTATAGTAGAATGTTGTTAAAAACAACAACATAAAATGTTGATTCAAATTCTTAAATAGTGTTTGTTGTAAGAAGAAAGGAAAGAATCCAAGACCCTTGTATCTTCAGCAAACAAAAACTCTTGGTATAAAATTAGAAATTTATTGATTAGAACCCTTTATGATCTTACCTGGTTTCAATATCCGCGCAGTCTGGTCAGGATCCATGCTGTTCACTTATCAACTCTATTACAAGTAGAGAAACTGATAGCGAACAGCATGGATCCTGGTCAGACTGCGCAGGCTGGTCTGGATCCATGCTGGTCGCAAACCCATTATGTTGGTCGTGATGCGGCTCATTTTACATACAGTCAATATTCAACAGTTCCTGTTCTGAATCTGATTCTGTTTGTCGATTAATTTCAAAATCATTTGACAGCAGTATTAAAATCTGATCCAATGACAAATCCTTTTCATAAAAATACTAAATAAAATTTTGAAATTTAGCGTTTAGCCTCTGTTGAAATTTTCGAACATTTTGTTTTTCTTCTATGTGATTTGTGTTTTGTTCTTAGATAACATGATTGAACTGTTAAGGTATTTTATAGTACCTAGATGCAAGATTAAGATTAATGCATACATTAAGGATCGTGCATCTTGGTAGATTTGATTTATAAAAATATTATTCCACTCACTGTCACATACTATATATATTTTTATATCATTATCAATTTTAATATTATGTAGATAAGGTTTAAATCATTATTATACAATTATGATGATCAAAGCGAATTGGATTAATTAATTAGTGTCTACTACTTACATTTTATGTATTAATAACAATGTTTAATTGGTTTAATTGAAAGGGTGTCATGGCTTGACTGTGTAATATTGTTTGTGCATGGAACCATATATAGAGCAATGTCTCAGTGATCTGCCTTCACAAGATAAAATGGATGATGATGATGATGTGATTTGTGGCTTTAACTAAGCGGTTTGGGGTGTTTATTTTTTGTGTATTTTCAATGGTGCATTTATTGTCATACATCATTATCCAATCCATTATATTCCTCTACAATGTCATTATGATATAAGTAACTTCTATGTATCAACTCATCTCTGAATTGTGTTAGGTCATGTGCTGATCATTCTTTGCTTCTAACATGATGAATAAATGACAAATTTAAAGTACCAACTATAGTTAGTTTATACAGAATTTAGTTTAGGCGATTGTGTATGAAATTATTAGCTTAAAGACACACTCTCAAAAATAAATATTTACTATAGATGGAGAATTAAGGTAGGTTTTTTTTTAATGACATATACTAAATTTGTTTACATACTTTTCCTGCTTTGCATTTGGGACTGTCTCTTATAAAAATATTATTTCAAAAACAAAATATACCCCGAGCATACAGCTATATAACAGTTACGAGTTAAATCAAACTTCATTGACATCGGATATCTTGTAAAGCTATTTCATTCAATGGGAATACAATTATACCATTTTTATATGGTTCAGAAGATTGGGGTGTTGGAAATGATGGGTATGAGAATGATGAATGCCATGATCTATTTATAGAAGTTGATATTAAATCATTTCAGTTGTAAATTATTTTTGCTGTTGTCATCTTAAAAAAAAATTAATAAAAGTTGAAGGAAAGATGTGTTTTGTTGTTGAATAAATGGTTGTAGACATGTGTTGATTCCATTAGACCCCAAGGGTCTCCATGGCTAGGCATGTTGTTTTATTTCTGTAGGACCCAAAGGTCTCCATGGTTGAGTGGTGAAATGCAGACTTACAACTTGCGTACCACTTCAAATTCCAATTGGGACTGGATTCTTCTATGTGATAAAGCTATTCAGTCATCTTACTAAATAGTGGTGGTTCAACTAGGGGGTACATGTACCTGCTTTTGCCTGAAGCAATGCATGGAGGGGGTATCCTCAGACTTCTAGTCCAAGGCATTCACCACTTGGTCATTCCTTCAACAAACTTGCATTGATTTGACTTTGTGACAGTCCCATGTAAATTGTAATGATTTAATACAAAAAATTCTGTAAAGTTGAAATACCTCTAGAGCAATGAAAAGAAGCAGTCAAAAAATAGATTGATGAAGAAAATGGCACTATTATGTCAAAAATGCTTAACAAGAGTTAAGTTCTTTTGTGTCCAGAGAGGATAGCTTCACAAATGGTCTACAAATGGCTAAACTTAAATTGCCAATTCTCTTTTAATTCCTACAGAAAAGGAAGTCTAAAAAGGAACAACAAAGAAATTCATGTTCAGCTTCATCATTGGACAATTTTAATTGTATGCTTACAATCAACCAATCAGCTGACAAATTTAGCAATTAGTTAAACTGCTTTCAAAATTTCAAAGAATACTTCAGTAATGTTGTAACATTCATCACAATTTTTATCTTTTAAACATATTAAAGCAGCATGACTCCATGTTTATTCTAATTTTAATAAAATTGAAGAATTGTTTATTATAGTAAAATATGTTGTCAAGTGTACAAATAAATGATTTGCCCTTGCCTAAAGCACTAAATATCCACAAAAATACATAAAATTTGTCAGAACATACACACAGCTCTTACATGACAAAAGCAGCAAATTCAATCATATGCATACAAAGTGTGATGAACTATGAATAGTTGACATTTCTGTAACTATTTATATATTTTCTCAAAGTCTGAATTTTTAGGAAAACAATTTCTCATTTATATGGTGTGCAGATTTAAAGAAAATGACAATTACTCGGTAATGATAATTTTTCATCTATCTTTGACAACATTATATTTGTAATTTAGTTTCTAATCACTAGCAATAACTTTTGTTATCTTTGTAACTTGGGTCTTTCTGGTTTCTTTATAAACTCTTCACCATATTTTTGATCTGGATCACTGAGAGGATTGCTGTCTTCAAGCAGCTGATTGAATGTGAGTACTTCAAAAAATGGGTTTTTGATTTTACAAACCCGGGGAAATCAAAAAAAAAATTTTATAAGGTACAGTAAAAAATTTTTTGGGCTTACATAAAAAATAACATAACAAAAAAATTTGTATGCATAAAAATTTTGACCAATAATTGCGACTAAAAACCCTTGCATTAAAAAAGGAAATGATCAAAAAGAGTTTCCTAACCCCCAACAACCTATTCAGTAAAAAAAGGGGCATAACCCCTGTAAAAAAAGTAATTTTAGGTTACGGGGATTTTGTGACCATCATTTGAATAATAATGAGAAAAAATTTCTTGTGAAATAATTTTCAACCTTTTCCCTTCAGTATTTTAGAAAAAACTTAACCAAAAAAGTTTTTTTTTGAATTTGTGTTCTTTTATGGCACAAACCCAAATCAACTTCACCACCACTTTGGGGGCTTGTGCCTTTTTAAATCGGCCTGGGGAATTTAAAACCCTCCTCAAAATAAAGCTTTCTCGATAAAATCTTTTAATAAAATTATCACATGCAAAAAAATTTTTTCAAACGACTTTTAATTGGGTTTCAAAAGGAAAAAATTTTTTTTTAATCATAAAAATTTACAAATAAAATCCTTTTAAATTACTTTTGGGTTCACTTTTTTTTAATTGTTTCAGTCAAATTGACCACAAATTTTACCAAAGGGTTGCAAAACTTTATTAATACATTTTATCATGGACACAAAAGGAGATCAAAAAAATCAATACAAAAACCAAACCTGAATACCTAAAAAGGCTTTGTGAAATTAAAAACAAAAAATTCTTTTTAAAAATTTAAACAATACACTTTATTGCACATTTTAAAAGCAAAGGGGAACTAAAAAAGTTGATCTTTAGGTAAAAATCATTCATTATAACTTACAGGATTTGAAGATGTTTCTGCTACTGCTATACAATGGTTGTCAAGAAGAGTTTCTTCGAATGTCCAGTGTATAGTAAACTGTCCGTCCACCTCCAACTGTGTTGTATCAATAGTCTGTCCCACACTGGGAAGGTCACTTTTTATCAAAAAGTTGAGTCTTTTCACTTCAAACCCTATACCAACACCTAGTGCTTTTACATAACTTTCCTTCAGACACTGAAATATGATATAAAATTTTAGAAATGTCGTCCCCCTTTTTTTTGTTTTCTAAAAAAACTATTAAACCCCGGTAAAAAAATTATGGCGAAAACTTTTTCCAGCTTAAAAAACCAGGGGAAAAGAAGGGACCCTGGTTTTGGCCCCACACCATGCATTTTTCAGGCACTAACTGGCGCCTGAGCAGAACCAATAACATTCCCTAAGCAAGCTGGATAGCTTTTTCACATGATAAAATGTGAAGTCCCAGGCTGGATTCAAACCCACTGCCGTGAGAGACAAGCGGATTAAATTCATTAACTTTAACCACACAGCCAGGCACACCTCTAAGATAGGCAATAAAAAGTAATTGCAGTTACACAAGTAAAATGAATCATTAGCTCAGAACTGCTTTACACTCATGAAATTAACTTTATGCTAATTATTTCATATCATAACTGTGGGTGAAGTCAAGTGACATAACTAGATGCAAAAGTAATGATGTACAGCGCACATACAATATTGGTTCCATATAACTTTGGACTTACATTTTTTTAAAAGGCGGCCCTACTTAGAAGCTATAAAATGTGCTTTAAAAATATGTTTTTTTAAAGATACAATCAATTATAAAAATCATTATTCATTTTTATGATCTAATATATAATACAGGATATTTTTTATTTTTGATTACTGGAGTTATTAATTGTTATTTTTTGAAAAAAAATATTTGTATTTTGCTTTTTCTTCATGGATTATAAATCTTTTGGATCGCTTTTTCTTCATGTATTGTAAATCTATCAGGAAAGATTTTTTCTTCTAAAATTGTGGTGGGGTGCTTATTATAGGGGGGGGGGGGGGGGGTTAAATGCAAATAATACAATATTTCATTAAACCTTGATTAAATTCAACAAAGAAATTTTAAATTTTGATTTACCCATAATCTGTAAAAATTTCCAAGCTGATCTTGTTCTGTTTTTCCAGATTTTATATAAACCCATTCATCTTGTGTGAACTGTCGTCGCATCGTGTGGAAAAAATCACTGATTGAATTTGCACCAACTGTATGAAAAGGTGTAAAAGAAGAAATACTTGTATATTTTTTATGATAATAAATTCTAATTTTGCCTTCCCTATAGGAAAGTTTCTGAAAAATATGTTGGTCTTTGCCATATACCCAGTAATTGATTGTACATGTACATTGTATATATTTTTCTCCATTGTTCAAATATCAAAGGACTTATTTTTGTATCAAACTGAATGTCTTCTAGAAAACAAATATGCTGGAGCCATCATAGCTAAACACACTCAAAAAAGTATTTAATGCTCACTGAAGACAAAAATTTTGTTCATGCATGTATTTTCAGGTTTTGAAAATAGGAGTTGGTATAGAAAATAGGAGTTTTTATAAATTGGAATTTGTATAGGAATAAAAGGTTATAAAGAAACAAAAAATATATAGAAAATAGGAGTTATATAGGAATACAAAATTACATACATGTAGGAAATAGCAATTGTTTGGGAAATAGGACTAAGTCTTGTAAAGGAGATAATAATTGTATAGAAAATAGGAGTTGTATTGAAAATAGTCATTGTAAAGAAAATATGAGCTTTGTACAATAATAAAAGCTGCATTTTAAATAGAAGTTCTTTAGAAAGTCTGAAAGTAAAAAAAATATAAGTTGTAATCAAAAATTAGTTCAGCTACAAAAAGAAGTTAGAAAAAATATAGCTGTATAGAAACTAGGACCCATATTGTACTATGCAGAAATAATAGAAAAAGGAGGCTGTATAGTAAATAGCAGCAATATGAAAATATAACTGAATTGATAGAAAAATGAGAGCTAAGTAAATACAGAAAAAATGAAAAAGGAGATGTTTCTATAGGTGTTTAAAAAATAGGTGCATCTAAATAAATATTGATAGGAGCTATACAGTAAAAAGGAGATGTGATGAGGAAAAGGAGTATTGTAAAAAAATAGATAAAATTGAGAAAGGAATTAAAAAAGGGAACTGTATAAAATAAGGGAGCTGTATTGAAATAGGAGTCACTAAAGAAATAGGTGCTGTGTAAAAAAATGGCTGTGCTTAAAATTGGAGCTGTACACAAAATAGGAGCAGCAAAGAAGCAAGGAGCAATATGAAAATATGATTGTTTCTAACTGTCATATAATTTACATTATTTCTTTAAAATTCTGGTTTATCAACACTAGTAATTTTGTGTTAATATATAAATATAAACAGTTAAATAATTTTTGGTATTTTTTTGTCAGCTATGTTTGTGTAATAAAACCTCGAACTTGATTTGTTCTCACTGATGAAGCATATTTTTCTTTTATCTAGCATTGAAAAAGTAGTTCCATTCATATAAATCAGGAAATGAGTGTGTGAAAATACAAATTTTATCACATAAAATGATTATTTTCGTCACCTTTGGTTTGTTAACATAATTTGCAGGAATTCATTCATGCACTTTTCAATTATAATTCCAAATTTTCCCAAAATGTTACAAATTTTCCCAAGGATATAAATGCAAGGGGAAGTTTACTACTAATTGGACAGGTTTTGATCATGGTGGACCTTATGACCATTAAACGCGATCTCTCAAGAACGAGATGAGTAGGTATCGTCACGCCTCATTTATCGCGACATGATAAAACTGAGAAATTTCATTTGAAGTAGTGAAAAGATATAAGAATATTCAATTTCATGTATCTTCTAAACTGCTTTTATAAAGAGATGAACGGCAAAGTGAAACATCTCGACTTTGACGGTCAAATGATTTACGTCTGCTTCCCCCTGAAAATTGATGCCTGAAGTCAGGTAGATAATTTTGATGTTCTACTAAATTTTAATTTTCTAGATTTTGCAAGTGATAAGCCAGGATAAGTAAGTGCCAATATATAGATATAACCGCGTCGAATTACTATCACTTTGAGTGGCTATATTTGAGCCGTTTAAACTTGTTGAAACTTTTCAAAGAAAAGATACTCTTGATATCCACTATATATAAATCACCCCTGCATCACTTTTTTTTTTTGAACAAGCCAAAAGATTACAAGTATAAAGAGCATTACTATAGTTCAAAGCACAACATGCAAAAGGTCAATTCTTTGAGAGAGAAAAAAAATTAGTTCAAGAAAACGGCACAATCCACAACTTAACAACTTATAGTTTATAACCCTGAACCTATTAATTCTACAGCTTTTTAAGCAATCAATATATAGTTGGAATGAAAATTTTCAATCTTTCTTGTTGAAGTTGGCCTTTTGTTGTCTTGATTTTGGAATTGTCTATAATTGTTAACTCAAGCTATTTTAATATTAAAAAGCTAAAATTAAGCAGGTATCAGATCAGGCCGCGTGTTCAATAAGATTTAAGGATCAGAATCAAGATCAAGGTCATAGTTTTAAAATCAAAATTTCTCCATTGTTTATTCTATTAGTTTTAATATTCAATATTAACTTATAATAGAGCACCTGTAAAAGTGGGCTCAACAAAAACTTGTTAAAACAGAAAGAATAAAAAGAAACCACTCATCAGTAGATAGTGAACAGTACAGACAATGAGCAGACGACATTGATGTGACGGCTGATCTTGGTCTACACTGGTTGTACAGGTAGAATCTATTGCTGCAAGCAGGGTTAGAGTTATAAACCTTAAAGTGGCTTACAGCTTTTATTTTCTGTTTCTGTTGAAAAAATTGAAAACACAATTCTGTGTTGTTCAAACTGAGTATGTCAGTAATTTTATTTGGGAAAAGTGCATCGTATCACTGTTAAGCCTTTTTCAGAACAGCGTCCCAAGAGCTATTTATAACCTGTTATTTGATGTTTCTTTCTAAAAATAAAAGATCAGAAAAGAATCGTTCGCTTTAAATAACTGGCCAGATTCAGGATCATATTCCTTAATTACAATATCATACATGTGAACTCTCCCACTTAAAGCGGGAGACTCCCACTTTTTGCAGTCATATTTTAAAAGATTTTTCTTAAAATAATGGGTATTTTCACAAATTAAAGAAATCTCCCTATTTTTGATGTCAGAACTTCATTCTTTGTTTATTTCAAATTCTAAAATCTCCCTCTTTTTGAAGAAAAATCTCCCACTTGATCATTGAAAAAAGTTCACATGTATGCAATATTTTATGCCTTTGTACAAAACAACACAAAAATCATTGTCTGGACCTCAGTTCTATAAGTCATCATTGTTGATCCTTACAAACATGAATCAACAGTAATGTTACAATGTAACTTTCATTCATACTTGTGTATCCACATGTGAATTAAAGTAGTATATTTTTTATAACAGGAGCGTTTTATCTTGTTACAGGAAATAAAGACCTGATACCGGAGATTAGCTTATCTGGGTACGGTCATTAGCCACACACCTTGTTACACTCCTTAATTAATAGTCATTATGGGAAACAATAGAACACCAACATGACAAATCATTGGCATCTCATAAAATGACAAGTTTTTATGCACCCTGGGATATTTTGTTATGGATTTAAATCATAATTTTCTATATCAAATCTATATGACTCAAAAGACTCGTAATCTAAGATGGTCCAAAAAAAGTTTCCAATTTACATCTACCAATTATGTAACGCTTAACAAATCTTTATTTCTGGTGTTTTATCTATATGTGCACATGTATAATGTAAATGTGGTCAATGAAGTCAAATGCTTGGTACATTTAGTACATGAACTTGATTCATTGCATAAAAAACCCAAAAATTGTCCTGGCTTAGTTTAACAGTTTGTATACCAGTGAATATTTTGACTGATCCATACCACCATGTCCACTGTAAAATCAGACGAGCCTGAACTAGAATACTATCTGGCCAGTCTTTATACTGTTGGCTTTTCAACTTCAACATACTGATTGTGAATCCTATAGGTACTTGTCAACTCAATTGCCATTATATTGATAATTTGCCATTATAAACGATTATTCCATTATATGAAAAAGTCCATTTTTAATATTACTGCCATATGACTGATTATCCCTGTATACAAAAAAAACCCACTGTTTTCAAAATACTGGAATAATTGGTAATATAGCAAATCAGTAATATAATGGAAATTGAGATCATCTGAATATAACTGAAACTGAGTTGAAACAAAGTGCCTATGGTGAAATCCCCTTAATAGAACTATGGACAGTTCCAAACCATCCACATAATAAATAATGCAAAAATTTTACCCGCATATATATTAACAATTTACTTGTTTTAATTTTAGGTTAACTTTAATATAACATAACAACAATGAACAGGACTGCTTGACATCGTTTCTATGTAAAACAATTTAGAATTATGAGCTGGTATGACTAATTTAAAGATCAAATTATATCAAGTTAAATTTGAAAAACAAATAACATGTACATTTTTCATACTTTGGGGAGAAAAATTTTTTTTATCTATAAACTCCAATAGAAAATACATGTAGCAATACACCATTTGAGTCTTTGTCACTGAAGAGCACTCCCAGAATGTTAGAAACCAGATGTTGTATCAAGATGTCATGGTTACTTGAGTTCAAACTAACTGTAAGAACTGGTATCATCAGCCACTGTTGTCAATGATCTAGAAACCGTAACTTATCTTACCTCTACAGATTAATATTATCTGACCTACATGACAAAGTTTAACCTATAAGATTACTCATCTTGTTATTTGTACAGCTCAATACATGAATTAAACTTTTTCTTTTTCCTACTTGTTTTGTTTACTACTCTGACCTTCGTTAGAATTTTCAAAATAACTGTAACTCTCAATCTTCAAACTTAGGTATCATAACAAAATTGTAAAATAAAAGTCATATATAACTTTTTATAAGGTGTAAATATATGTAATATCACTTGCCAACAATTTCCTTGTACCATTCTTTCATGGTTTGTTGTTATGTCTAATACAAAATACTATCAACTTAATTATTCATTGTGTAACAGACCTTCCACTATAGACCAACAAGGTTGTGTGTTTACATGCTATGACAGAAAACTTGGATTCAAAACCTTTGGAATAGATATGAAGAATAAACTAAAACTAACAAAATAATTAATTATTTACATACATATCTACCTATATGATATGTGAAATAATTGTACCTGGTGTTTCCTCCTATATGATATGTGAAATTAATGTACCTGGTATTACCTCCTATATGATATGTGAAATTAATGTACCTGGTATTACCTCCTATATGATATGTGAAATTAATGTACCTGGTGTTTCTTCCTAAATGATATGTGAAATTATTGTACCTGGTGTTTCTGTCTATATGATATGTTAAATAATAGTACCTGTTGTTTTTATATATATCATATGTGAAATTATTGTACTTGTTGTTTCTACCCATATGACATGTGAAATTATTGTAATGTACCTGGTTTTTCCACCTAAATGATATGTGAAATTATTGTACCTCATGTTTCTTCCAAAATGATATGTGAAATTATTGTATCTGGTGTTTCCACCTTAATGATATGTGAAATTATTCAAATTATTCTACCTGGTGTTTCTACCTATATGATATGTGTAATTGTTGTACCTGGTGTTTCCACCTATATATGTGGAATTAACATTCCTGGTGTTTTTATATATATCATATGTTAAATTATTGTACCTAGTGTTTCTACCCATATGATATGTGAAATTATTGTACCTGACATTTCCACCTATTTGATATGCCTAGTGTTTCTACCTTTATGATTATATGAGGTTATTTTACAATGTTTACTACAATACTGAAATCTATTGGACAGCTGTCATTCCTATATTGGATGAGGTAGTAGCCGAGTGGGATATAAGTTTTATAGCTGTGTATGAGTCCCATAGAATCAGTATTGTTCTGATATCTTTATTTGTTGACATTCTGTCAGAACTTTGTTAAATAACAACAAGAACTTCATATATGTAATTTTTGACACTCAAAAATGAAAAAAAAAACAAGGTTAGATTGAGTATGCTATGCATTAGGTATAGATATTTTGGACTCTGAAAATGAAATCAAGGCTATATAGGGTGTGATATGGATTTGATTTAAACTTTTTGGACTCTGAAAATGAAAACAAGGCTATATAGGGTGTGATATGGATTTGATTTAAACTTTTTGGACTCTGAAAATGAAAACAAGGCTATATAGGGTGTGATATGGATTTGATATAAACTTTTTGGACTCTGGAAATGAGAGCGAGGATAAATTGATAAGGTTTGATAGCATAATGATTTCTACTTGAACTTCACATGGTGCAAATGCTGTAAGTTCATTGGTTATATTCTTTAAGGTGAGAAATAAGTGTAATTATTGTACCTGGTGTTTCAAGCTTCATGACATCAATACCAACGTCTGTGAATGTTTCTGCAGCAAGAACGACATAGTCACCATGATGGGATACATTAAAACTGAGCTTCTCACAGCCCTCTGGTGTATTATTCATCAGATAGGGCTTGCCTTTCTCAGTCCGTCCTAGTTTTATATCAGCATAGGGAATCTTTGTTCTCCTGTGTAACATCTTCCGTAACATCAATCTACCTATCTGTAATAAGCATAGTAACTTTTATATTAACAATCAAATATTGAAAACCTATTTTAATTACAGCTAAGTTAGCACCTCTCTCTTGTCCTTCATCAAGGGTATAAATCCCTGTAGTGACAATAATCTTTTTAAAACAAAAAGAAGCCATTCTGCTAGATTACAAATTTGGAACTCGACCCAGAAGTTGTTCATGAAAACAAACAAAATAAATTGCCATTATCTGACCAGGAAAACTGAATGCCCCTGGTGGTTGAGGGGTTGCCTTTAATGGTTCAGGCATAAGAACTGCAGCCACCGTTTATCCCTGCATGATTATAAGAGGCGGCATATGGGTTTGAATAAATGGAGTCTATGCATCTCTTAACTCCAGCAGGTGAGGTGGTTTTGACCCCTGATGTTGCTTTGAAGTGGTTAACCCAAATCTTATTTCCTGTTTTGGTGCCATATGAGCTATACTGTGTTAGTAAGCCGTAAAACCAAACAAAACAAGAGCTGTCGGTAGGACAGCACGCTCGACTATTCTAAGTGCTTGATAGTATAAGTGCCTTGATAATGTTAAATTTTTTAAGATCACAAAAGGTCTAATTTTTTTTTAATAAATTCATGTTATAGGCCTTAGAGAGAGTCTAATTATACAGTATTGGCTTGACTATTCGGAAGGTAATGTCACAAGGTTGTTTTATTGAGTATCATAATACTAATTACCTATGAATACATAAATTTGACAGAAAAGGTACAAAGGCTTCTAATTAAGATGTTTTATCAAGTAAATCACTGCTTTATTATTATGAATGCATAAAATTGTCCCAAAAAAAGGCACAAACCCTTCAGTAGTAATTGAGATAAAAGCTTACAAGCAAAACTTTACCATCAATTTCTAAGTTGAAAAAGGGGAGAAAAATCAGCCTAAATGCAAGATAGAATTATGGATCTTTGTCAGTGACCTACAATAATGACCCTAAATGCATATGTGAAGTTTTAAATAAATATCTTTAATAGTTATTGAGATATGTAAAACTTGCATGTAAACATTAACCAAGAGACTAAGTAGAAAAGGGGATATGAATCAGCCTTAATGCAAGATAGAGTTATGGAACTTGGTCAGTGACATACAATTATGACCCTCCAATTATGACCCTAAGTGCATGACTGTGTAAAGTTTCAAGTAAATATCTTTGAACACCTTTAACCTTTAACCAAAATTTCTAAGTTTCAAAGGGGCAAATAATTCTTCAAATTTTGCAGGCAGAGTTATGCAATTTTGCAAACTGATGTACATTGTTACTATAAAAAAGTATTTTAAATTTCAATTGAATATCTCAAGCAATAATTGAGATATTTGACTTTACAAAAAAACTTTAACCAAAATTTCTAAGTTGCAAAGGGGCATAATTCTGTCAATATTGTAGGCAGAGTTATCCAACTTGTCAATCTGATGTACCTTGTTACTATAAATAAGTATTGTAAGTTTCAATTGAATATCTCAAGCAATAATTGAGATATTTGACTTTACAAAAAACTTTAACCAAAATTTCTAAGTTAAAAAGGGGCATAAGTATGTCAATATTGTAGGCAGAGTTATCTAACTTGTCAATCTGATGAACCTTGTTACTATAAATAAGTATTGTAAGTTTCAATTGAATATCTCAAGTAATTATTGAGATATTTGACTTTACAAAAAACTTTAACCAAAATTTCTAAGTTGCAAAGGGGCATAATTCTGTCAATATTGTAGGCAGAGTTATCCAACTTGTCAATCTGATGTACCTTGTTACTATAAATAAGTATTGTAAGTTTCAATTGAATATCTCAAGTAATGATTGAGATATTTGACTTTACAAAAAACTTTAACCAACGCAGACGCTGACGCGGACGCTGACGCCGACGCCGACACCGGGGCGACTACAATAGCTCTCATATTCTTCGAATAGTCGAGCTAAAAATGGCCTTAATAAGCTTGTGTCACATAAAACACAGCAAAACAAAAACAGTGTGGCCAAACCATGTGACTTTGACATAATATTTCGGTAATAAGGCAAGCAGAAATAGTAAATAAACCGTTGGAATCAAATCTTTAAACTCATGTTAATTTGTTATTTCTTTATTATTAAATGTGACTAAATAAAACAGAGGCTAATGGAAAAGTTATATATCAAAAGGGCATGGTAATGATTTTTTTGATAGATAGACAGTTTTGGTCTTAAAGTAGGAAATCTATATTTTTCCAAAAATGTTTTTTCTAACCGTACAATAATTAGGGGAAAAACTAGTTCTCCCATTTTCGAGCCAAAACTGTTCGAGCCATTTTTCTACATTAAGAGTGACAATTGTTATCAAAATTTCTAAAGAAGCTTTATGCATAATTGAATGAATATTAACAAATTACATACCATTGAAGACTTTGCATCTTTCTTGAACACAAACTTGCCAATCCTTTCCTTCTCTTCTGACTGAATACATTGACTTGCCTTAACCCAGTCAGAGACCGTAGGTTCCCACTGTCTGGTATTAAACGCCCATCTAGTACTTGTCATCACCAACCTTGAAATTCTCATCTACTTTACTACAATAAAAAGTATATACAATATATAATTATACTTATCTTTACAATATGTTAAATATATAGACCATCGTAAAATCATGTTAATATACTATTTGCAAGAGGATACTGGTTGAGGCCTACTGTATCACATAAAAAACTAGTCTATGAATTCAAAGCTGATATGAGCCGCGTCATGACAAAACCAACATAATGGGTTTGCAACCAGCATGGATCCAGACCAGCCTACGCATCCGCGCAGTCTGATCAGGATCCATGCTGTTCGCTATTAGTTTCTTTACTTGTTTTAGGGTCTGTAAGCGAACAGCATGGATCCTGATCAGACTGCGCGGATGCGCAGGCTAGTCTGGATCCATGCTGGTCGCAAACCCATTATGTTGGTTTTGTCGTGACACGGCTCATATAACTGCAGGTTAGTCCATGAAGCAAACTCAATCAGATAAGATCTTGCTGGTTAAGCTGAAATAAATACTTTTTTCTGATATAAATATTTATTTAAGATTCTGAAGCAAAATTTCTTAAATAGTATCTGAAATATATATGTACACATGTAAATTCAAAACTTTTCTCCAAAAAATCATTTTAAAAAATCCTGCTTTTATTTGCCTGAAGCAGAAGACTCTTAACAAAAAAGTCCTATTCTCGAGCTAAAAGCTGGTCTCCCAATACTTTCTGTACATTCAGATGTCACCTCTAGAGAATTCACCTAAATGGCATGAATTACAGATAAAGTATGTTTTTGTCTTTTTTAGATTAAAATGAAATAAAGAATTATTCAAAAAAAAAAAAAAGATTTACATGTACAACTGCAAATGTAGTTCCACCAATTATTTCAATTTCTTGGTCTTATCTTAGACCTGTTCAATTTTATCTAAATACAGTTTACAATATTGATTAATTAATTACAGTTTATTATTCATTTACCTGTGCCATAAAGCAAAAATCAATATCAGTCTAAATCATACCTCTGATAATCCCAACTAAACAAATAAAGAAATAGAACTAATACAACTGTACAAATAGTCTTGTGAATTTCTGAAAATGATTTCGTCCGTTCTGAAGAGATAAATTTAACAGAAAACAGTTTTATTTTCTTCACCCTTTTCAGTGCTTTACTAGCCGCTATAATAAATCATAACTATAAATTCATGTATTAAGCTACTGTAACCTCTACTTTCGTTTTGAGACAAATGGAAAATTTGAATTAAAGGGAAGTAACAACTGCGCGCTACTTACTTTCTATCAGAACACTAAGATTCGATGTAATTGACAATTACTTGTGTATCATTGTATGTCACAGCGTGACATTTGGCTTAGTTTTCGGTCGGGTTTTAATCAATTATCTTGAATAGAATTTATTCTGTTAAACAGATATCATCATTCCAAATTAAGATACACGACGAACATGGCCGCAAAGTATATAATATTTATTTCATTAACAGATCAAACAAAAATGCGATATCAAATGCGTGGGGTATCTTTAAGAAAATCGTTACTTTAAAATGTGCTATTTTATTTTGGACAGTTGTATTTCTATTTTCCAAAGGCCCATATGAATATGTTCTCCATCCAGAGTATGGAAATGTACACTGTTTTAAATTTCACACAGTCTTCTTTCATCGATAACTATTTACAGATTTTGATATATATATTGAAAACTTTGAAATACATTTTTGCCTGTTTAATTTTACAGTCTGGCGAAATAGCCACAAAAATACCATTTATATATGCATGTAACCTGCATTATCTCCCCTGTACTAAACATCACCTGACATTGTGTTTGCTTTTCGCGTCCAGCGGCACAAATCGAGGACATAACAAAGAGAGGAATGAGCATACAGCCAGTTCATTATCATAGTACATGTAATATGCGAAAATCTGAAAGATCGTATGTGCTCCAGTAAATGTAACTTAATTACAACAGGGAAGATTCAAAGAAATATCAGAGGATTAAACTGGAGTCACAAATATAACTTCACGTAGACTAAGTCGTTACCCCGAGCTGTAGAAAATATGAGAGCCCACTTACATGTTGCAGTGGACCTGATCTGCTGATGCTCTGTGCCTTCTCAACGTTGTGCACGAACGTTAGGAATAAATAGGGGAAATGCCAAAATATAAGCACATATAGTAAGAATGGGAACCTTTTAATACACATTGCCAACGAAACATAAGGACAGCAAATACACATAGTATACAAAATGAAAACTATTCTCTGATATTTTCAAATAATAGATCTGTTCTGCGTCTAGCAATATATTACCATAATTGCATTTCCTCGCCATTATTCCAGTCGGTTCTTCTGTAAATTGAGAAAAACCTGAAATCCGATATATCTAAACTGAAAACATTTTTCCTTAAAAACTCATCAAACGTCAAACGGTTTGGGAACGAAGAGTGCAAGGCAATTATTCATACTTTAATACAATCAAGTTCATCTTGTAGAACATTTACTCAAAATTCTCCGTATTATATAAGCGGTTAATAAGAGCAAGATATAAAAATGTTTGGAGCCAGATAGCCTACACACGACTGTGAATAATGAAGATAAATGTAAACTATTTCAGTGGCCTATGGACTAAATCATCAACATTCCAGCATTATATTGCCCAGAGGTTCCGTAGAAATTGTTTAATATCAAAGAATAATGGCCGTGCTAGAAGGGCATATACTTCAACGATCACAGACTTCGGTATAATACTGTTGACTATAGATTTCAATATCTTTTTATTTTATGGCATATAGCGTAAACACTATCAGCCTGTCCGTCGTCGCCTTTCCTAAACTCACAGAAATAGTAAAAGTTTGCAGGTATAGATACGTCATAACAAATGGAAAGAAATGTAAGCATGTTTCCGGGTCGTAGTGAACCAAGATTACACCTTCTTTCTCAGATTTAGTAACAGGAACAATTCATCTAAGAAAAGTGTCATGTTTGTTCAAAATGCGATGTTGGCGACGAATTCCATTTTTTTCATAAACTTCACTAACTGGTTTAGTTTAACTCTTATTAGATGGTTCAACAAAAGGACTTTATGTATACATATAATCATTACAATAATTCTGCAATATAATAAAAGGGCTATTGGAAGAAAAAAAATACTATTTGTATTTTTACATATAAAGAAACAATCCAATAACAAAACATTGCGTATGACAAGCATGAAAGCCTATTCTGGATCACTGTTTTTCTTCGTCTAAATTTATACAAGATTAGAGCATGATTAAGTAAACCACTGATGTTACGGTATACCAGTTATGTTGTCTGCAAAATACCAGTTAAGTCATATACCAATATCAATTATTTTAAACACAAATTATCAATTATGTTAGACCCCAAATATTAATTATGTTAGACACCAAAATAACAATTATGTCAAATATCAATTAGGACAATTACCCATTATGTCAGTTACCAAATACCACTTATGTCAAAAATAAAATACGACATTGTGTCATATATCAAATACACATTTTTCAAGATATTTTAATGCCAGTTATGTTAGATATTATATACTAAATATATTAGATATCAAATACTTTTTATGTCAGATATCAAATATCAATTATGTCAAATACCAAATGCTTCTAATATCAGATATAAAATACAAGTCATGTTAGATATCAAATATTTATTACTTCGGATATCAAATACAAATTCAAGTCGTATATATAAAATAGCAGTTATGTCAGATATTAGACATTTACCATGTTAGATATCAAATTTTAATTATGTCAGATATCAATTTCTAATTATGTCTGATATCAAATACTAATTTTGTCTAATATCAAATTTTAATAATGTCAGATATAAAATTCTACTTATGTCAGATATCATATTTTGGCAGCATGACACCAGGTATATATATATATATATATATATATATATATATATATATATATATATATATATATATATATATATATATATATATATATATATATATATATATATATATATATATATATATATATATATATATATATATATATATATATATATATATATATATCTGAAAATAGAAGGAAAGAACTTTTCGACTTGTTAAAATAAGAGAAAGTAAAATATAAAGTTTTAAGGACACAGAAATTAAAGAATGTTACTTTTTGTTAAAAAAATCAATTGTTTTGAGCCTTCAATACGTAGGTTTTCAGCCTACAATTTAAGAAGACCAATAAAGTATATATATATACATGTAATATTATATGGTTACACATGTTATATCATATGGTTAGAGGATGAAAAAAAACTGTAATTTTAAAATAGAGTATCATTTCTACAATGTTATAAATGTCAGCTTTAGGTAGAAATAACATCAATATTTATAGGAAATTGTTAGATTTATACTTAAAACATACCAAACATTATGTGTTTAACCAAACTATTACACATAACAATTTACGCTTGAGATATCTACAAAATAGAATTGAATACATATTTGTTTTGGTTGAGTTTAACCTTTAAAATAATTGTTTCCATATATGGTATTAAATTACAATGAAAATAATAAAAAAAAACTCTTATAATTAACTTGCATGTGATGTTAGGACAGTATATCCCTTCATGTATATTCAAATCGAAAATATACAAAATAACAACATTATTTAGATAAGTAAAATGCATGGATATGTTTGATCATTTTATGTTGTCCCTGGAATACTAGTATAACATAATAATTATGTCATGTCCCACGTTGTTCGAATATTAGCCATTATGAACCAGGATATTTGACAATTTCTATCTATATAACCGAGATAAAACTTTATAAAATCTGACGAAACTAATTGCGCCGTGCATTGTTTTTTCTCTTTTTTATCTAAAACATATTGCTTTATTACTTTTTAAAAAAATATTTTAAAGTATGAACGGTTAAAGGATAACTGAAACGAAAACTTTCCTCCTTAGCGTACAATCATTCAAACCACAGAGTGTTTATGAATATCCAAGAAAATGGGCGTATTTTCAAATAGAGTAGGCGGAGCGAACTTTCTCCTCCCAGAATTACACTTGTTTCAAGAACCCATTCATGTAGTAGCTATTCTACACCAATTATTTCATTGGACATCACACGTTTAGGAATTCTGGCTTAGCAAGTGATGTTTCTGGCTTTTGTCTAAGCTTATTTCTTAAACCAGTTACCGCTATAAAGCCTATAATTTGGACGGCTAGCAGAGATTCGTGTTTTGATACATGCATTAGCAGACGTATTCTATGTCTGTGATCAGGAATGATTTGATGCAGAGTACCAGTCGTTGCTTTTGAGACTAAACACAGATAACAAGAAGAGATAAAACACAGGAAAGTGGAACCATGAGCCTCAGTGTTGGAGGTTACCATCCCGGGTACGCACATCCGGGTCCTATGGGTGTGACGTCAGCGCACGAGTTTTACGCGTCCCAATACCCGGGGCAGGCAGTAAGATACCCGGATTATAATGTCAGTGATAGGACTTATTTTCACAACTGGGTGCTCAGTGGCACTCCGGAGATCCCAATGTCCCCAGAGTCGTACGGACACACGCACGGACAGGCGGACATGTTAGCACATATTCCGTACGATGCATATCAAAATCCTTTCGGAAGTGAACGGTGTGTGAAAAGAAAAGTGAACGCTAGTAAAAAGGAAAGAAGAAGGACTCAGAGTCTTAACAACGCGTTCACAAATTTACGAGACTGTATTCCAAACGTTCCGTCGGACACTAAACTTTCTAAAATCAAGACATTAAGGCTAGCTATCTCATATATTTCCTATTTGATGGACATATTAAAGAAGGATGACCCTAAATTGACTGAAAAAGGGTTTAAAGCAGAGATTTCACGGAAACGAGAAAGACATCATATAGATATGGATAAAATACGTAAAATGGATGTAAGTGTATAAAAATACCAAAATATAGAGGAATTATTTCTGTGCCTTTGTATTTCCTTTTAGAAAAAATATAGTTTGTTTTGTAGCTTGTCCATTTAAATGTAATACTTCATATCGCCGCATGCAAATACTAACTCTTTAAGTTTAAACCCTTTTTCTCACAAATGCCATATTTCATTTATAACATATTCATTTTCAGTTTTATATTTTAGTTTTTTATATATATACCGCTTTGATAAGTTGTCGTATTTAAATTAAATGGAATTTTCAAACATTTTATTTTAGATTTTAAAGAACATTAAATATTTTTTATGAAAGTCAAAATTGAGAAATGTCTTTGTTAAATTTTTATAGCATTTCATTTATTGGAAAATCGGCATAATAAATATAGCAAGGTTTCAAAATTACTTCGTTTTTTTCATCTCCATATTCTTTCATTATAACATATATATTTTTCAAATGTCAATATATTATCTTGCTTTTACCAATTACTAGTAGTATATAAAATTTTCCAACCAGTTACTTCCATACTTGTTAATTTAAATTGAATATAAGAAAAAAATAATGTCAACAAACCAAGTGACCTTATGTCCGTGACCTCACGTTCCTTAAGATTTTCACGTGCATAAAGTCACGATTTGACATTCCATAACTAATGACATCTTGAAGAAAACAACAACATGACCAACGACTACGTTCACCAATCAGATTGGCACTTTCACTAGTTTATCATAGAGAACGCGGAGGTAATTAAGTAATCCATTATAACAGATAATACATGGCCCCTCTTGTCTTCATTAATGTATTTGTCGCCCACCGAGGAAATGAAAAATGATCTTTTTATCTAACTATATATAAATGTCAAAATTTAATGTGGAAATTTGTGGTGAGAAAAATGGTTATTTCAAGTGTTTAGATTTATAAAAGACCAATAAACTCAGTTTGGGTCTGTAATGAAATACTTATTTTTAAACCATTTCATATAAAAGTAAAGTACCTTACGGAAATAAAATTTGATTCTATTTCACATGAATTTAAGTAGGCAAATTTTTGTAGATTTTGAGATATTTTATAATTTAGTGCGCTACGCTCCCCCCTGATACTCGGAGATTGTAGTTTTTCATAGAGTAAAATTTCTTGAAAACATAAGTCTGCATGTTATTTATTTGTGGAAAATGTTGCAGGAAACATAAGTTCTTTAAGATTATATATACTGTTCTTAAATATATATGTCAGATGACCATCACATGCGTAGTAAACTCAATTCAAAACAGCAACAACGGTTGGTCACGATAAAAAATTCTAGTTTCTTAAAATGTATAAATTTAAAGCATAAGCACGTGACGATTAATACATGTGACTGATTTGACAATGTAATGATTTTGTACTAATTTGATAAAGTGAAGTTAATATTTTGATAAATATTCGGATCTTGTTTAGTTACTAATTGGAATTTGATAAAAATGCAACGGATATTTAAAGCAGCATGCCTCCAGGTTCATGTTAATTGTAGCAAACATTTTTTAAAAAAGTATTAAACAGTAAAATATTGTCAAATGAACAAAGAAAGTAATTTACACATTACAAACTATAAAAAATCTGCGAAAATTGGCCAAAAAGACCAAATCAGAATATGCAAAAATGTCCCTTACTGCATTAGTAACGCAGTAGAAATATCGTGATGAATACTGCAAAAACAGTCATTAATTGCTTATAACATGTAAATTATTTCTTGAATTGTTAATGTTTTACTTTTTTAAAATTTTAGTACATGTTTTTCAAGATTGATTTTCTTTAAATATTTTGGCCCATCTGAAGGCATGCAGCTTTAATATGTTGAAACAAAAAATATGTCTTGCACTTGCCTATATGATTTACCTTGTTAACGAAATCTAAAACCTAATTATGCTAATAACGTTGCATTATCATCACACTTGATAATAACTGTATAAATTTAATACAAAATGGCCAAATTGGCCACACAGAGGATTCAAGGACAATTTTTCATGAAAAATTAAATTTATATATTTTCTTTAGAATTTTCGCCAAGTTGCTAAGCGTTAATCTTGCTGAAGGCACTAACTATACATAGACATTACCTTTATTAGAACATGTCAAAATATAATATATGAACATTGACAACATAGTAAATACTCATTCGAATTATGTTTAAAACAAACAAAACGTCATGCTGGTTGTGAATATTCATATACATTTATTTACATATAATTTATATATTTCCTGCATGTTCATTTTTTAAAAATATTTACACATCTGGATTCGGGCAGCTTTAATGATTCTTTGTTACATATTTTGAGAATTATTTATGAAATTAAAGGTTGCTAGAAATATTTTTCAATACAACGTCTGCAGCATAAGGTTGATACTTCCTAACGTTGTTGTTGTTGTTGTTAACGTATCGTCAATATTCCCTATTTCCTATTTCCATTACAGTTAAGGATTGAAATTTACAAAAGCAGGCAGTTTAAACATTGTTTTTGCCTTTAAAGTACCTCACAAATCATACTTATGGGTAAAATATACTCAGTTCATATCATTACTAGAAAGTTTTTTGTTGTTGGCTTTTTTTTGGCTGTGGCTATTGTTTTGATACTTTCTTTTATCTGAACTGCATTTCAATAAAATTGCAAATTCGTCGGCTCAGTCTTATTAGAATATAGTTGAATATAATGATTTTTGACAAAAATTGCGTATTTATCTTTAAGTGGATGCTTAAGTAAGTGTAATTTGAAATGACAGACATTAAAAGTGCAGGTAATTTGAAGTGCCTACCGAAGATAACAGGCGCGCAGGGACGCCTTTAGTATTTCAGACATAAATTTATACATATGAATGGACAGTCAATGCTTGTTAATATTTTTAGATATAGTAAAGTTAGTATTTCTTTTACAACTTTTATAAAGATGAAATTATTGTAAGATGAAGCATTATGGGACAAATCTTGAACAATTATCTTTGAAAGATAACTTAAATCTTTACTTTTTGGAACCGAAAATGATTAGTCTTTTACCAACACTATATTGCCAGACTGCCAGTCCAACCGAGGGTCTGTACTCGTACTCTCAGTGCCTGAAAGGGCGGATGGACCCTCATTAAACCTAGACTACACATCCAGCCCAGCAGGCCGTCTGATCAGGCCCTAAAACTGTTGGCTGACCAATTTCATATTTTCATCTTGAAATACCCGAATTTGATAATGGACAATTCCAAAAATGGAAGCTTGGCAAGTCCATTTAAGAAATTCAGCAGGTTAAGGGTTAAAGTTGCAGTTAAATAAACTTGCTATGTTTCACTTCTTAGATGCTTCAAGTGCAGTAAATGTGAGGAGGGGGAGGAGAGAGGGGCGGGGCTGGGGGTGGATGCGTGTGACCCAGAATGTTGTCATCACGGGTAAAGTTTTATGACAACATTTTATGTCCAATAACTGTATAATTATCTACTGCAAAAAACACTCTGAGTTGAAAACGTACGCTAGAAAATAATGCATTAACTTTAATACCAGTATGCATAGCTTTTCATTAACTTCATCCACTGGTGGTCCAATCCAATATGACAGCTGATAAAATAATTTCAAGAGCTTTTTTGGGGGCCTAGTGAAATGAAACTGAAATATACTCAATTCTGAAAATACCGGAATATTAAGTGGACAATGAAAAAAAGAATTTTGTAAACGATATTATCTTTTATAAAGTAATATATGTATAAATAATCCAGCTTCAACTATTGAAATATTGGAAGAAATAAAAGAATATATCTGTTTGACTTTAGGAAATACTAAGTTTCTAAATTAAACTATGTTAGCAAAATGTGAGTAAATGGAACAAAAAATATTAATATTTTTAATACAATTATTACTGTGCTTCATATTGGGATCTTATCATTAAAATGACCCCAGGTCCCGTTAATGCCAATTTGGATTTTAAATGGAAAACGTCTACATTTATATTACAATGTCATTTATTTGTATTGAGTGTATTTTACATGATAAGCCTGATAAATCGATCATTTCTCCGTTACTTGGGCCGGGTACCAAACGGGGCGCCCGATAACGAGGCTGATAAAACCACAGGGGCTTGCGATTTAATGATGTCGGATGTAAATAATGACAGACAGTTCTATATATTTTATGATATGTTGAAGACGTAGACTATCTAGATTCGGCTGATATAGAAGATTATAGTCTTCCGCGTTCAAATTTCAGGATTTTATTCAAATAAAACTTGTAAAAAATGTGATTTTAATGTAACACGCTGCGTTTTTCCGTATTTTGTTTAGAGCATGGTCTTGTATCCCGATGTGCAAATTGGCTCAATATATGTGCGGTAATATAAACGAGTTGCCGTTTTTAAAATTGTTTAGGTAATTTAGGGGCATGGACTATATTTTTAAAAAAATCTTTTTGATACATCACAAATTAAAAACAGTATAGAATTACAGGATATTATTTGGTTTTTATCATTAAAGGTATTTTAATTTTCAGTAAAACATATGCAATATCTGAATCGTAATGATAAAGTTTATTGTCTCAACTTTCATCCGGAACTACTTTTTTGTTAAACGAAAAGGTGTCTAAATTTCGGGCGTAAAAAGTCAAGCAATTGAAAAATATAAAGCAATCTGTAATCTAAACGCAATTAATTCTCTGTGTGCTAGTGGCAACATAGACATGCAGGTAATGCGACAAGTTCACAACGAAGACAACCTACTCATTCATACAGTTTGGCTGAACGCCTGCTTAAGAACTCCACTGAAGTCCAAAATCCTAAAAACTTAAAATTCGATTTTCTTACATAGATCAGCTGGGGTATTTAAAACGGAAAGGTATTCATAAGAAATTAAGAAATTTGCTCAAAAATAGATTGAAAATAGTAGTTTTTCTGCTGTTCATAGCCGATTTCAGTGAAAAACGTTGCAACGCTTTTCAATATTAGGTCATTTTTCACAATTAGAGTGATTATTCTGGAAAAGCGGAGTGAGCA